TGTAGAAACCAGAGATTGCAACAGGTTCATTAATCAGTCTCTATGCCTGTGGCACTGAGGCCTTATATGCCAAGTGACCCTTGAAAGAACAATTTTGATTCAGAAAAAACATACCTTTGAATGTTTCCTTCTCACTGTTTTTAAATTTAAGACTGATTTTAAACTAGAGTACAGCTTTTAATTACTAAGTTAGGTAAACCTCAAGTCATACAATGCTAAACATGTAAAAACCAACAAATCATTTAAAGTTTGTGGGTTCCTTTTTAACATGTAGCTTTAAAAAAAGTGATGATTAATTATGAAAAAGGTGTCAAAAATGCAATCCCTCTATGAGAGAGTCTGGCATGTTGGTTCTGAAAATACCCTTTGAATTAAAATGAGGAAGACTACAAACAAAACAGACAATCAACTTAATGCTCCAATTCGTCATATGGAAAGGTCTTTGGAAGATTAAGTACCTGGGGGTTGTTGTCTCTTTCACTTATCCCCCACTAAGATTAAGCTACAGCTTCAGTGCTGCTATTTAGCAAACAAATCTTCTCAGAGTCCAATCAGCAAAATCAGAAGACGACCCTTAATTCAGAGTGATGGTAATAAGATTTGCAGTGGGAGACAGAGTGGATGGGTGGGTCCCATGAAAGCAGGACCTCGGCTGAAGTGTGTGGAAGTGTTGGAACTGATATGTATGTTTAAAAATCCGCTGCTGTCAGCACATGCAGGAAACACACCCTCACAGTTTCTCTTGCCTCAGCAAAACAGAAATCAGCACACTGCAAATACTCTCTCATGGTGAGCACATTAAATATTTCAACTGAAACAGGGACGAGTGAAGCACCAGCAGCACCAGCAGCACCAGCAGCGGCGAAATTCCTCTGCATCGAGTCTCACATGACTCTTGTTAGCCAAGTTCAGACTGTTGATTCAGAGCCGGGCCACTGGTGATTAGTTTAAGTTATTTTCATCAGAGAAAGCAAATTCCCATTGTGGAGGTATTTAAAGGGAACGGGGTTGGGGAGAGATGGCAATCAGCCGTGCTTTCCTCATTTAAGCACTAATACAGGCTGAGAACATGAACTTTTCAGAAACATAAGTTACTCAATTTATTCAGCATCATGGTCTAAACTTGATAATGTTTCTGCTTCCATGCCTTTAAATGTGATTAGGGTGACTGTGCACCCCCCCGTTCCCCTGATCTTTTATGTTTAAACAAAAGCCAACACATTTACTTTCAATATGTTTTCTTTGGTCTTTTAGAGATGAAATCTTGCTATAAATGACTTGCCATTTAGACTATGCTGTATATATAAAAAAAAAAAAGGTAGGTGTAATAAGCCAGAGCTTCAACCCACATCTTAAGTAATGTGTGTTCAATTCAATTCAAGTCTTTGCTGTTGGACATTTATTTTTATAGCTTTGGTCGTTTGCTTTTCTCTTATTAATGAACAAAGAAATATCATTATCCCGTCAGCCTGACAAGCATCGTGTGGCTCAAAAAGATGTGGTAATAACGGGTGTATTCTACACTATGAAAATGAACAACTTTAAGAGTTTTAACAGTCACTGGAGGAGGAAAAATGGACATGAATGAGGCCATGAAAACAAATCAGAGCTTCCATTTCTCCTTAATAAATGTACTTACTGCAAGGGGAAATGTGAGAAATATACATTAAAATAAAAAAATACTGATTATAACAAACCAGCTTGTTTGTGGTTTTTAAGTTGGATATATAATATGGAGAGAAATATGTCTCATAAGGGTTACAAATGCATACGACATTATCCACCAGCGTACACTAAGATTAACAAATGTGTGCAGTGATTTGTGTGTAATGTTTGAGGACTCACAAGCACGTGCTTCGATGAATCAAATAAGCTGCTGCTGCATCCTGAAATGTTTTTCTGCTGGGGAAAGTCAGTGAGTGCTCAGCTGCAGATGTGGAAACACTGTGGTTGTGTTGATGTTAATTTTACCATTGTACAATAACAGCAGGCTAACATTAAGGAAGGAATACGGAGGAAGCCCAGATGATGGACACACGCTTACATTTGTGGATCTGCAAAGCTGGCAGCATGAAATTTGTCTCACAACCCCCACGCGGGGGTCATTTACACTTGTATGTATCGAAAGGGTTACAAATGCGTACGAATCATCCACATTTCTGCTGATACAAAAACTGCCAATGAACTCTCAGCATCAGTTACTTGTCTCATGCAAGCATACTCTTTGCTCCACATTTAGTTTGCTGGGATGTGATCTGCCTCGTCTTAATCTGTATTTTTATTACAACTGGTGGCCCCACAGTACGGAAGGTGTGAACAGCAGGTGGGTGGGATGTCAGATCACAGATATCTGCTCTCACTGACATCATTCAGAGCCAAGGAGAAAAAAAAAAACTTCAGTTTTTAGAGCCGTCTGAAATGCGAGCTTTTGGCTCTTAGGTAGTACAAGCTGACCTCATTATTAGAAACTTTGGTCACATCTATTAGAACTATCCAACTTTGTAACACAAAGCGCAAATCACTCTGGCCTGTGGGCGCCGATCAGATGTAACAGAACATTAGCATGAGTCTCGCAAAGCACTAATTATTTTCCACTGGGTCATTCACTGTTCAGATGTCAAGAGCACATGCGTGTGTTTGCTCTTGCTGCCAACAACAGCTAGCAAAAGAGGCTGTGATGATGGAAATAATGGGTGGACATGGAGGAAGTTGCTCAAGGTTGGATGGTCAGTCTCTTTGGCAAGACCAAGGCTAAGGGCAGTGACCGCATATCTGTGACACTGCAACCTTATAGACATCCTGATTGCCTGTTTACAGGGACAGTTTGTTAAAATGGGGTATGGGTATTTACATTTATGTCCAGACCCACTTCACCACTAGAAATGGGTCTGGCTAATACACACATAGCTAATACTCTTAAAAACATGGTGATAATCAGGGATGCACCACATATCAGATATTTGGATCCAATATCAGTCTGATCCCATCTCACAAAGTTAGACTGGTAACAATGAGCTTATTTAAGGAATCCATCTATTGAATTAAATTCTGTGTTGTTAGCTGCAGAACGATGGTTACAAAATGGAGAGGTAAGTTAGCACAGAAGAAGCTAAAAGCAAAGCTTTAGCAGTTTGGATATTTTAGAGGGATTTAGGTTCAGTTTGACCCTTGGTAAATCTTTACTGCGATCATGTTTTTTTTTTAATCATCTAAATTATCATCTAAATGATGTATGTGGTTCCTCTTACTTGTCAAGCTCTTTGTTTAGCTTTCTGGCTTTTAAATGTCCCATTTCAGGCCACTGCAAACAGCTTAAAAAAAACCCTAAAACAGCAAAAAAAGAAAAGAAAAAAAAACACAAAACACAAAAAGAAAAACAAACTCACAGACACACAAAGCAACCCAGTGGAACAAAAAGTAGTAAAAATGTTATTCGCTACAGAGCCAAACATTTCCCTCAGGAGTCGGTAGGAACCAAAAATATTGGCTTTACATTCACCAGAGGACCACAAACACATCTCCAAATGAACCATAATTCTATCAAATAAGCAATTGTTTGTGTCCAGATTTATGTGTCAATGTTATGTTTATACTGCCCATATCTATATTTTGCTTTTCACTTGTTTGGAGCAGAAAAAACACAGTTACCAGCAAACAGCTCACAAACAAAAGTCAGAATAGTTTCAGAGTGGGGGAAAAGTGAGGACATAAAATAGACCCTTTAATGTGTAAAACTAATTCTCGATGTATCTATTTGTAACAAGCAGAAGCAGTGCACTGTGCCCCGTGCACAAAGAAGCCACCAAATATAGGCCCAAGCTGCCTCAAACAGCCTGGATCCAGCACTGGCTGTCCTACTTTGACACTGGCTCTCACCATAATTTTCTTCTAGAGAAATCAAAATCAGCTACCCACGGCATCCCCCCACCCTATCACTGTTAAAGCCACAGCCTGAACCACTTCGACCAACTACGGCCAGCTGCAGCTCCCTCAATCGAGAAAGAAAGAAATCAGAGTACACATTTTAAGCAAAACACAAATAAAGAACATGTTAAAGGCATGCTGGCCACAATAAGACCAAGAGGTTTTATAGAAAATCTCTCTTCTGTTCACCACGTGAAGCTCTGTCACCAGCAAGGTTTTCTCAAGCCCATCATTACAAAAATAAAGTAAATAAAAACAGTAAAACTGCTTTAACAGTCTCTTTAAATTGGTTGCTTTTTCACTTCATAAACAAATATTGCTTTATTTTCATAAATGGCAGATTTGGGGGAGAGTATCCAAACTCTCAAATAACTAACTACTTGCTCAACTGACACTCACTTATGCCCTTTAAAAAGTACAGGTTTAGTTTTAAGGTCAGAAAGACTTTCATTAATGGCATAGACACATCTGCTTCTAAATCACCTCAAAACTTAAGAGAATGAACATTTTTGAAACAATTAAAGGTTCTTCATTATAATTCATGATAGGACTGTGTCGTTGAGGTGATGATTATAGGCTCTACTGTGATTTAAACGGCAGCTTTCAAACCACGAGGATCAGATCAACTTTAAAAAGCCATTTATCACTATTTCATATATTTAAAAAAGTGTGAGCGGGAGGATTTCTGCTCTATGGCAGATCCATTTCACTGCTCTCAGGTAATAAGGTTAACCCTGCCAGTCAAAAAGTACTATAACACATCTGTTTAAGACACTCCTTAGAAAAGTAAACACTGATTTCTGCGCTTTCTTAACGCTAATTTAGAAGGTATTCCCAAAAGGATTCAAGTTTCTCTGATTTTTTTTTTATATATTAGGTCTGAAAGTAGCTTTGGGCTCTTTTGTGGGTTCAGAGCTTTAACCTTCACCTTAACGTTACGTTTTGTGGTCTTAACTCTCAGTTTCAGCTCGCAGGTCTCCTCGGTCTTGCTTTAATCTGCCCTCTAACGTTAGCTAGCTAATTAGCTTTCAGGGCTACAGCATTCCTCAGTATCCCGCAGAGGCACAGATACGCACCTTCACCTACCTCCTCCGCTGGCTCCCAGGGGGGAACACACCGACACGACGGTGCTCCCGGGTGTAGTTAAACTCCCAGTAAACTTCCCCGTCGACCGGCCACCGTGTGAAACTATTTCCCTACTTGTCAGGTTTGTCGGAGAGCGGCGTTCCAGTCCGTCCTGCTCTTCCCTAGCCGGTGTGTAATCTACAGCAGTGCTCGCTCCCGTGGAGTCGCTTGCCCCGAGAACTTCGCAACTACCTTCAAGCAAAGATCGTCTATGCAGACAAGACGTGCTATTCTATATATTTTCCGGAAAACACAAAAATAAAACTTTCCGGTTTAACTAATTGTAAGTTACCATAGTCACCGGTCTTGTACATGCACATTTAACAAACTAATTAAACTTAGCACTATTTTATCAGGCAATGCTGTAGTTGTAAGTGGCTAATGACTAATCACTAGCTATCATAGTGAGACCTCTTCTCTTGTTTGTGAGTTATACACATGGTTCGAACTTTCAGGTGTTCCGGACACAAAGGGGGATTTAGCGCAACCTGGCGGTGATGACTGCGAACTACAAATACATTGTGCGTAATTGTGTCTGCTTTTAAAACGAAAAAAAAAAGGTGTGTCAACTTTTAGTTCATGGCACACATACAATGTGCTAATCAGCCCAATGTGCTGTCAAGTGAGTGACCAGCAAATGAACAATCAATCAACTATCATTTTACAGTTTACAAAATGCCCATTCCTTTCCCTGTGTGTTACAATTCACAGCCCATCTACAAATGGGACCAAAAGCTGCACTGTTCTACATCAAAAGTTTTACACTACTTTTAATTTTGTCTTGTTTTTATAAACACTATAAAGACAAACTCATCCAGTTGGCCAGTTTGAACCCTTTAGTGGGCCATTTTGGACCCCAGGCTGCATGTTTGACACCCATCGCTTGAGGCAACAACAGAAATCAAAGTCATTGATGTTTATGAGGCACATTTGGCCAAGATTTTACTTCAAATGAGCCTTTAATGAACCATCTATTTAAAAAGAAAAAAGCATCAGTATTCCCTCAGGAGTTATTGCAGGTTTGTTAGTATGCATGGATCACAGCGGCTCTACAAAAGCACAAAAACTGCAAAGGTTTTGTAAAGATACAGTATCGCAGAAAGTTGATTCTGCTGATCTGGACATTGTGTTTTCAGTGGGAGAAATGTTTCATTACTCATCAAAGTGACTTCTTTAGTCTCAGCCGACTGCAGGTTTCCCCAACTTTATAAACAGTACATTTGCATAAAGACCAAACCTAGCACCACTGATTAACAATGGGGTCATGAGGTCAGTTTCATGATCATTAACATGCAGACTGTCATGACCACTGATCAATGGCCAAGAAACAATTGAGTTTTACTATTTACAACTTTAACATCCTGAGTCTGGGGGAATCAGGTGTCCCACTGTGGCTGGGACATCCCCGGCATACTGAGAAAATGTCCTATATTTTCTCGTTTTAGTTGTTGTGCTGGGCGACACACTGCACACAGGTTTGAATCCACCAGCCGACTGGCACCTTTCTGTGTTTGCAAACTTTTCAAAGATGGGTTCAGTCATCAGGACAGCAAGTATATCCCCTGTCAGTTCTTAAATATAATGGGCAGCAAGTTGCTTCTCTAAGACCACTGCTGGTCCCTCTCCTCCACGGCCTTGTGTTTACACACACCTAAATGCTTCAGACCAGCAAACTGCCAAGACCTTTGCTTTAGTCGAGGCACTCACACTTGCTACTTGTCCTCTTAATTCACGATGAAGCAGTAAGGTGTACTGCTTCTGCACTTTGGCTTCATCTTCATGCAATACGTCATGTATTTCATTCATCTGAAGTCGTATTCACCAAATTTTACGCCCTTCTTTAATTATATGTAAAACCTGAACTGACAGAGGGTGTACTTTCTTTTTGCCATGACTGTAAATTGGATTTATTGGTGATTCTAAAATGGCTGTAGGTGTGAGTTGCTGTCTTTCTGTGTTAGCTAACTGCAGCTTTCTTCACAGCAATTTTCACACTTTGTAAAACCATCTAGTGGGCTGATGCCACTCAGTGGCAAATCCCTCCACTTAAGACTGGGGAAATATTTTATATGTACCTGGATTTGCTTGAAGTGACTGTGTTAAAGCATGAAAGAAGACCCCATCTCTAATTCCAGGAGAGTTCTCAGAACAAAGCCACAAACCAAAAAAAAACAAAGAAACAGTCGACCAGTGTATGTACGTAAAAGAGAAACAGCCACGTGAAACCCATCTCCACATTCACAAGAGTCAAATGACAGAACACAGAGGGGGCAGTTTTTTTCCTCATAATTATTTAATCACACATACATTTACATCATGCAGTCAATCCAAAACTGATCTCATTAACGTCCCGTCTCCGTCCGTATCAGAGCCCAGCCATTTGTGCCCCAGTTCTCCAGGAATGATCCAGTACCTTGTCCACTGATGGAGCCCCAAAACTGTCCTTTTAAAAACTGACCAACTATTACACAGTAATAAAAAAAAAGTGGCTACACTTTTAATTTAGAATTAATGCAAAATTTAATTTAGGTAAACACACGTATTTATCTTTTTGCTGTATTTATTCCCCATTTCGTGTCCAGTTTTGGTGGGAGGTCAAAGGATGAACATCTTGAGGTCCACGCTGCAATGTCTCAGCTAAATCTAGAAGGTTACACAGAGGGTATAAACCGTCTCCATAAGACACCAAACACTGTCCTGTCATAGATGCAGGGAGCTACTCCTCCCTGCATCTTGCAGAGCGTAATTATTACAACTGAATACACTTCAGCGACAACAAGCAGTTTTTAAAACTTTTCTTCCCCTCCTCCACTCAAAAACAGCCACATGTGGAGTGTTTTTATCTGAGTGCAGCTAAAGAAGTGCTGTTTTACACCCAGCTTTCCTGTATGGAGATAACAGGTTTTAGTCAAAATCATTTCCCCTCCTTTTGTTTTCCAGCTACATTCGTTCCACCAGTCTCAAAACGTATCCTTTTTCAGTAGAAGTTTCTTTGACCAGTCTTCCTAAAAAGCTTCAAACTCAAAACTTTGGGTCATATGTGATTTTTTATACAATCTGTGCACTTTTGTTAACTTTCCATTACAGCAGCTGCAGTAGATTTGATATAGAATATGAGGTTTATATAAAACAAAACAAAACAAAACAAAAGATCTGCAACATGTCTCAGCTTTTCAGAAAGAGTGATCAAAGAAAGAGAGCACACACCGAGGACTTGACACCAGTGAAAGTAAACGCAACACAAAAAGGAGGATTGGGCAGGTACTACCACTGCAACCACACCCTGATCACACCTGCCGGCCGACTGATATACAGTGTATTTTACAGTATATTGCACTTGCACAAGATGTTAGTGTTCTCATGCTGGGATTACAATCACAACAAGCTCTTTGCCAAATGCAGTGGGGCTTCACAGGGTTAAAATAAAGATGTGATGGGAAATTAATAACAATTAAAAAAAACCCACTAAAAAAAACCAACAAAAAACAAAAACACAAAAAATCTACACCCCTGGTTAGATTTAGTTAAATAGACCCTTCCTCCAGATGACAACAGAAGATCATTGTGCAATTATAGACCCCGCTCTCCCTGACTGGCTGATCAGCGGTGAAGGTTTAACCCATCAACTGAACGATCCCACTCCACCCGCCCATCATTACCCCCCCACTTTGAAATAGAAATCTACACCATCTATGGAACAAAGAAAGAGATACAGTACATAAAACCCAGCATGATACTCTGCTAATTTATAACCGAAAGGGGGCGCATACAGTTACGGGTCTTTTAATCTATAAGGTGTGGGGAGGGAAGACGGAAGAAGCGAGGCACCCTTGAAAAAGAAAACATGACACTGTAGGGATTCAACAGTCAAACTAGTAACAAGAACCAAAAAAAAGAAGAGGTCCTGAATACACGAGTGAAAGGAGACGAGTTACCGACAGGGACCCAGCGAGGACAGGACGAGCTCCGTGTGCTATTTCCATCTATACACTTGCAATCTATGTGCTCCAATGTGCAGAGAGATATTAAACAGCTTCCATTAACACGTCATTATTAACCACTGAGAGAAGTAAAAACAGTACATTTAGCTACGTAGCATAGGCTATGCTAAAAGGTGGAAGTCTGTTGTGTTAACCGGATCCTCCTCCTCTCTTTTCCCTTCATTCTACATTCTTTGCATCCTTCTCATGAAGCCACCATTAACGAGTATAGTTTTTTTTTTAACTTAATATTAAAAACAGTTGGCCTCCACAGGTATTTAGGTAAATACACCTACGGTACACTGTTGCACGTCTTCTTGGCTTTAGTTTAATCCTTGTGTTTAGCCTCGTCTCTCCAGGGAAACGTGTGCAGTAGTGCCAATTTTACAACTGTACAACAAGATCAGACAGAACAGTAGTGCTCGACGCCATCTAGTCAATTCAAAACATTTTTTTGTACTTTTTTGTTTTTCCCGTAAAGAAGCATGTAAAATCTACCCAGAGAAAAGTGTGGTTAACAGCCAATGATAATAATAATAATAATTATAATAATAATAACAATGAACTGTACAGAGGTTAGCTTTATAGGGTCAAGCTGTTTCTCACTGTAGGGTCTCCTCTTCATTTTTTTTTGGTCTTTTTTAGTATTAGGTGTTTATTTCTATGAATTTTTTGGATCTTTCGACCGTTACATTCAGCTTGGCACAGTGCAGAACTACTCGCACGACGACAGATGACGACAGACTGTGCAAAACAAAAAAGAAAAAAACTAAATAAAATCAACAAACCCGAAGCTACACATTCGAGTCGCGCCGAGGCTTCGCTCGCCGAGGCTTCGCTCGCCGAGGCTTCGCTCGCCGAGGCTTCGCTCAAGACTGCGTTTGGTTGCCTGAATAAGAATATTATCTTGGCTTTTTGTAAATTAAAACGGTTGTCTTCTTTCTTTTATTATATCCAGTAAGAGAAAAAGAGATAAGTCATGATTAGAATGTCGGGGAGAGGGGGGTGGGTAGGTGGAGGTGTGATGGTGGGGGGGCTGGAGCTGTACAAGCTGGGAATATTTATATATATATATTTATATTTCAGAAACTCCTTCGTGGTTCCAAAGCAGCGACGAGGAGTCTGTTCGCTGTAATGGAATGACAGGCTGTCGGGGTGGGCGGGGGGTGATATTGGCTTCTTCTGTGGTGTCGTCCTTCTGTTCTGCTGCTCTTCAGCTACATAATAAAAATATATATATAAAAAAAAAAAATTAGTGAAGTGCATTAGTGAAGACTACTTTCATTTAACTTAAGAAGTTTTCAGTTGTACAATAAATAAAAAAATTTTTTAACAGGATATCTTCAGTACTCCTGGATATTAATGAAAGTCTACCATGCCTGGCTTTTGATGCGTTATTGTGTACTTTTAAGAATTGCTGTGTGAGAAAAAACAAAACAAAACAAAAAAAAAAAACCTAACAATTACAAACTACTTACTTCTTGTCAGGCTTGCTGCTGCCCCCTCCTCTGATGGACACCGTCTGGCTGTTCTGGTAGAAGCCTCCTCCACTGCGGTTAATGTTGGGGTGGGTGGGGGATGCCACTGGCTGCTGCCCAGGCCTGATGGGTTTGGCTGAGAAGAAGAGGAAGTTACCTTTAGAAGACGACCGTTTGCTTTATGACAGGCAGCCAATCAGACAAAAGCTACAGTGCAGCCAAAACAGCAGGAATGCACCGAGGCCTGGTATAAGATGAATGTGGATTATTTTGAACTGCCAATCATACAAAGCTAATCTTAGAGAACTTCAGGGGGAAAAAGCAGAGACATAAGCCTAAAGTACCTTTCAACACATATAATCTAAAGAGATAAAAAAATAAATACTCATATTTGGTATCAAATAATTGAGAAATCCAGTAGATATAAAAAAAAAAAAAATACACCAACACAAAGCTGGTGTATTTGTTTTTTCAAAGTAAATTCAGCTTTCTATTTAAATGATATTCATATACAGGTTAGCAAAATCTTCTGCAAAACAGCAACACGATGTTCTCCTTTGATCCACCATAAAATTAAAATGTTGACTTTCTGTCGTAATTAAAAGGAAGAATGGTGAGGGGTGTTCCTCGCCGTGTTCATTCCTACTAACCAATCTGGGCTGAATGTCCCCTCCTGGCCATGTTCTTGGCTCTGACGGCCTCTTTGATGCGGTCCACTTCCTGCTGGTAGCGCTTGCGATCGCGGGCGGCGTTCTCCTTGGCTTCCTTCAAAGCAGACTCCAAGGCCTTGACCCGCTCAGCCGTAGCTCGAAGACGCTTTTCCAGTTTAGGAAGCTCACAGCGCAGGTCTGCATTATCACGCACCAGCTGTGGGACAATTTGCGTGAAAACGTGGAAATCATTTAGTCATTTTAGCGTCATACATAAGTGCCAACAAGGGAAGAAGAGTTGCGCTACAACAGGCAAACAAAAATATGGCATGAACAAAAAAAACAAAAAAACAAAACAAAAGAAAAACGTTGGTGTGCACGTCTGTCTCGTACCTGTTTGTGAACCTTGGTGAGCTGTTCAAGATTGTTCTCAAGAAAGGAAATTTTCTGTTTCTGAGCTGCACTCCCACCTGTGTCATCTGAGTCCATCTCAGCGCTCTGCACAAAATAAAAAACATACAGATGTGACTCATGAACAGAGATTAATATACACGCCTCCCATCTGTCACCACATCCTTGTTTATTGCTGCATGTGATTTTTGGTGTGCTCTCTCTCTTTTTAAACTCAAAGTTCTTCTCTACAGACATAAATATTTCTTGGTAAGCTGCCCGTCATCCTGTGAATGCTCACCTTCTTTACTCGGGTGGCCAGGTCCTGGACAAAGAGTTTCCTCAGGTTGTGCAGAGTCTGCAGCTCTTTAGCCTGAAATAAAAACAGAAAAGTGTATTCTAAACTCATTTGCAGGAATAATGAAACAAACACAGTGCGTTTCCTACAAAGGTGAATCCCATTTTTAATGGTAGTGTGTATGTATGCAAAAGTAAGACACAAGCATGCCAAATAATGCTGTTCATAACATGCTCCTCTCAAAATATTTTAACAGCAGAGCATTTTGTGATAAATTAATCATGCAGCAATAGAATCGGCTGCCCAATGTTTCTTCTGCACCACAAGTCATCTTCAACTCCACAGTACTGGACTACAGGCTTCTGCTCCTCAGCCTCAGAGAGACCTCAGCAAAGCACAGCTCTCCATCTGTTGTATGTTCTGATTAGAGTGGCACACTAGCTTTCAGAGGACTTCCAGAGCTGAACAAAGACTACCGAGTGCTGCAGTCCAACACTGTGAGTTGGACTTTGGTAAAACAGAATAACAATGACGACCACTACAGCGAGCCAGCGGAAGAGGAAACGGGGACTAGACTAAAAGCAGATGGCATCCTTCTCCTGGGATTAAAAAGAATACTAAGCTGAGTAGTCAAAGACACCTGGTCAGACTGTTCAAACCCATGTACTTTATTTATCAGACAATTTCAATGAACTCACCACTGTCTCTTCCAAACCCTTCAGGTCCTGTCTGGCCTGCTCCCTCCTGTCCTGCATCACCCTGAAGAAGAACAAAAGAACAATAATACACCACATATGAAATTCTAAAAAACTATAACAAAACTGCACGTTGACAGAGTTGTTTTTTGTTGCATCTTGAAAGTGAAGAGAAAAACAAACAGAAAATGGCGGCCAGTGGACAGTAAACATACGTGAGCTCGTGCAGCTTGCGGCTCTTCTCCTGATCGGTGGATTTGAGCTTCTCATGCTCCACTCTGAGTCTCTCCTGCTCCAGCATGATCTTCTGATTCAGACTAGAAGAAGCAAAATAAAATCATAGTAAGTATGTCTCAGTCAACATATCCAAGTCCTGAGTGCACTTTTTCTACTCTTCTCATGAACCTCCATGCAGTTTCAATTAAACTTTGCATAAATATTTGTTCGACTGTGGGTTTCCATGTCCCACTACTGCATCTATGTGCACAGACAAAGACTGACGACAAAGGCAGCCGGACATTGTAAAGCCTTACTCCTGCAGCTCGGTGATGAGCTTCTCCTTGTTGTCCAGCTCGTCTCTCAGGCTGCTGATCTGTTTCTGATGAGCTTCACGATGGGAGTGGATCTGCTTCTCCACTGCTTCCTGAACACAGACATAAACACATAATCAGATTCAAAGGAAAGTTTCACTGACTAATAAACAAGCAAAATGATAATGGGATACAAAAAATTACCAGGATGACATTTAGCATTAGCATGGGAGTGACATATTTTAGTAACAATAGTCAGCCAAAGGCCGCCACTGAGAACATTTTATGTGGCATTTTATGTACCCACAATTGATCTCACACTATTATATGGCAGGACAAAATGAGACTCAAAGGACCACTTGTTCTTAATGTCTCTTCTGGCCGTCATCAGCCGATGTGAAACAGCCAGCCCAATAAAAGGTAAAAACACACAACAACACAGAAATAAGACAATAAAATTAAGAAACAGAAATTAAAAATAAAATACGTGAGTGTGTAATTTTCCTGTCAATAATAAAATACTTCCCTAAAATAAAACTGATGTTTGTTTGTTTTTTAACATCCTGTTTATTGGGAATAAGGAACACACCTTGACTTCATTGGCAGTCTGGATCTCGTTCTCTTTCTCCATAGCATGGACTTTCTCTGCATAACAGAAAACAATTCCCCATTATTCACTGACATCAAAAGGACAAAGTGCTGAATGCATTGTACAAAAGATCCTCAAAGTAAACTCATTATTTTCTGTAGGAAACCACACTGAGTTTAACCAGCCGTGAAAGCTTGTTTATTTCTGCTAGACTGCACGTCATCTTAACCTCCTAGGACCTGGCGTCCACATATGTGGACATCACATTTTGGGTTATTTAGACCAAAATACTGAATTTTGCTCTACAAGGGCCTGATATCCACTTACAAGGACATTATACTGTCCTCATACTATCAAAATTTTTAAGCGAATATCAGATGTGGCTCTTATTTTTCTTAAAAACAAAAATAAGGTAAAAAAAAAAAAAATCTGGTAATTCTTTGTTTTTACATTCATCGGGCCCCAATATGACCAAATATCAAAGAGAAATTAAAAATCCATGCCGTGGAAGAGTTCAGGTCTTAAGAGGTTAAAACAGACTTTGAGTGAGTTCCAGTGTCGGTGCTTTAATTTCCTGCCCTTCCCTCATAGAGTGACGTACCTTGAGCATTGAGCTTGACAAGTTCCTCATTGAGAGCATCCACATTTTCCTCCAACTGCCTCTTCTTCTGCTCCACATTTTGCAGGTACTCAGTCAAGGACTTGATTTTAGCCTCGTGCTTTGGACAGAGGAAAGAGGCACATGTAAATACATAGGTGCCAGTGAAAGCCGTGATTCACTGTGCCGTTTTCGGTTCGTTTCCACATACCTGGGAGATGCGCAGCTGGCAGGCAGCCAGTTCCTTCTCGTTCTCATCCATCTTCTTGTTGCTTTCTGCCTGGGTTCCCTCTAGCTGCTTGCAGCGTTTCACCATCGTCTTCACTTCTGACTTCATCTTGCTGATGTACAGACGGGCCACTGTAAACTCCTCATCAATCAGACCACTGCCACCGTCATGTTGCTGAAATGAAAAAACGACGTTAAGACCACATAGTGGGAAAAGAAATGAGAAAAAGAGGAACAAAAACTGGAAAAGATGGATAGAAGCTGAACCAGAAAGTGCAGAAATCAGCTCAGTACCTTAATGTCATTGCTGCCTACAGCGATGCCAATCTCAGTTAGGTCTTTAAGCAGTGATGACATCATCTCAGTCACCCTCTTCTTCTGGTGGTTGGACATCTCCTTCAGCTTCTGAAGCTCAGAGTCCAGAGATGACAGGATGGACTGCAAGAAAAGAGAAAGTATTAATACAAAGTTAACTGCTATTGAACGATTCAGCACTAACGTTGTCACTGCTCCTCCTTTTCTTCTCTTGGCTGATCCCTTTTAGGGGTCACTGCAGATAAACGACTTCCATCTCACCCTATCCCAACCCAACACCAACCATCTGCACTTCCTCCTTCACTACATCCATACATTCTGTGGTCTTCCTCTTTTCCTCCTTCCTATCTGCTCCATCTTCAATATTCCTTTGTCCAATATATTCACAACTGTCTCCAAGCTCTTCAGCCTGAGCTGTCCCTCTTGCTTCTTAACCAATATTTGAATTTAATTCAGTGCTATTCTCTATAATACAACAATACAACCGGTGTACTGGTGCATGCGTGTTCATCTTTCCCTGTCAGGCATCTCTCTATCACTGTGTTCAAGTATAGCACATGCTGGGAATATTTTATTGCACTTGCAAGTAAAACTTGTGCAATTAATATTATTTCAGCTGTATGTGAGCAGGTGAACCTATAATTAATAACAGCAACTAGTGACCTACTCACTCTCACACTGTGCTAAAATGAGAGAAGCATGTTATTTATGTTTATGTTATGATGTTATTTATTCTATGCATTTTGATCTAATTAGCATACTGATAGATATAAATTCCATAAACTTATGTTATTTTTTATACTGTATGTGTCTGTTAGATTAAAAAAAAAAAAAGTCAGGGAAGCAATATCCAGACGGATTCTGCTGTACAGACACAAGAATGATTTCCAGTCTGCAAGTGGAAAAAACTGGATCAGTGCATGCCAATTAAAGTTTCCTCCACATTCTCTGACCCTGCACAAGACAACTTATGTGGCCAAAAGGCGGCTACTACTACAGGCATTGCTCCCTCACTCCTCTGCTGCTTTTTCAATACGTTCTTGTAAACAGGCATTGAGACTTATTTGAGGGTGTAATTACCTTTGTAAAATCATAAATTAATGTTTTTGCCTTGAGGCACGTAATAAGAATGAAGGCATTTAGTCAATCTGCCAAGTACTTCTCCACTTTATGGAACATGGTTCAGTTACTTACAGAAACAAAGGTTCTGCAGCACCAATTAATATGCACATGTTTGCCGGGTGAATGTGTCAGTTCTAGTTTTTAATCCCCGCAGGTTTTAAAGGCTTTAATTATAGTGCTGTGTCTGTGTGTTGCATATTAACATGGCCACTATAAAGGACACGTAAAAGGCACCTGAATGAAATTAAAGTATCACTGAGTCTATGAGCATGCTGATATCTGTTCCGGGCTCACCGATTTCTGGCTGAGCTCCTCGCTGATGGTCTCAAACTCCTTGGTTTTATCCTCCACCTCTTGGCTCTTCTGGTCATAATTGACAGCCAGCTCTTCCAGAGCCTGCAGCACCTCCTTCACCTCCTCCTTTGAGGCTTCGTTTTCCGCCTGGAGGCGGTTCAGCTCTGTCTGGAGGTTCTCATGATCACGGCGGGAAGAGGCTAGAAGCTGGATAAAGGAAAAGCAGCTTAACTTTGTTTTATTCTTTTAAACGTGTCATTGCAACAATAAGGAAAGCTGACTGCATTTTAAGTCCAATAAAAACATTTTTCATAGTGATGTGACAGCTTCACGTTTTTCCTCGCTCCTGTGAAGCTACAAAGATCACGAGTTCACTCTGCATCTGTGCCTCCACGCCACCTGTTAGACCTCCAGTACTCACCTCCTCCTGGTCCAGCATCTGTTGCTTCAGCTTCTCAGCCAGCTGGCTCTGCTGGTTGATTTCCTCATCCTGTAAAGGGTAAA